CGGATTACTTTTATACTACTAGTGAACTTAGTTGTTTAAACCACTGTTAGCACGGCACTATTCCAGCAATATCACGGCGAGGGACACCAGAAATGGGCTTCACACGTTGTACCCATGTGGGGAGTCAAACCCGGAGGCGATGGGGTAGCCTAGTGGTTAAAGCGTTCGCTCGTCACGCTGTAGACCTGGGTTCGATTCCCTACATGGGTACTATGTATGAAGCCCATTTCTGGTGTCCCCCACCGTGATATTGGTGGAATATTGCTAAAAGCGTCGTAAAACTAAACTCACTCACTTACTTCGGCGTGACGAGCGAGCGGTTCAGTCACTAGTCTACACCACCGCCCCTAATGAAATACCAACTCAAGGGCACATCACATATATGACTAGGTCACCAGGTCTAGTGACAACTGTACTGTCAGCAGGGCATCGTTGGACAAAGAATCGCCGTCGTCCAAACGGGTCAACAGCTTCAGCGCCAGTGACCACCGAAACATCAAGTTGTGTGGCAACATCATCTATGGGAATGTGAACATCAACATCACGCCAGGCTCACTACGACAGGGGCGGTGGGGTAGCCTAGTGGTTAAAGCGTTCGCTCGTCACGCCGAAGGCCCGGGTTCGATTCCCCACATGGGTAAAATGTTTGAAGCCCATTTCCGGTGTCCCCCGCCGTGATACAGCTGGAATATTGCTAAAAGCGGCGTAAAATCAAACTCACTCACTCACTCACTACGACAGCGTTGTCAAAGTCAAAGTTTCCAAACTCCAAATAACACACTTTTGTACCATTATCCGTTCGTCGAAGTAATTTACTGACCTCATCATGTCTTGTCTCTTTTCTTTCGTCATGTATTTTGACAAATGTATCATGGCGTGACACGACATTCTGCATATCTCAGTAAGTGAGTGAGTGAGTTTAGTTATACGCCGCACTCAGCAATATTCCAGCTATATTGTGGTTGTCTATAGTGTGAGTGTGTTTAGTTTTACGCCGCACCCAGCAATATTACCCCTATATGGCGGCGGTCTGTAAATAATCGAGTCTGGACCAGACAATCCAGTGATCAACATCATGAGCATTGATTTACGCAATTGGGATACATGACATGTGTCAACCAAGTCAGCGAACCTGACCACCCGATCCCGTTAGTCACCTCTTACGACAAGCACGGGTTACTGAAGATCAATTCTAACCCGGATCTTCATGGGTCTCAGTAGGTTCAGAGTGTAAATGGAGACTGACATTAAAGTTACGCTCATGTAGTGAAGAGAATTCATTTCATAGTGTTAGTGGGATATTTGACATATTTCCGGAAACCGCTTACAGCATGCTCATATCAGTTCGACCATGTCTATTCTCTCAACAATTTTAGAAATACAGGCAGCTTCTGAAGTTCCTCGTGAACATACGTTTTGATTCTTAAACCTTCATGATATAATGAGAGCAGGGATTGCTTTAATTGTTAGCGTTAACAGTTCAGCTTGATTTAATAAAATCTACATGAACCCATCTTAAAAACTTCAGCGTTTCATCCTCATGTGTACAGCTTGTACTGACTTGTTGTGGAACAAAATATCTCTCACCTCAAATGTTGCTGGAATATTGCTTGTCATAGAGGAAAAGTTGGCCTTTGGAAAGTTGGTAAATCAGTGGAAGTGAATTGACTATTTAGCCGTCATGAAATGGTCGATGTACCCTTCCCGTTCACCTTCTTCAAGTGCTTTAAGGTCTAAATATGAAACAGACGAGGCGATTCCACTAGTCCTTTATATTCACAACAGAAAAGGACCACCCCAATTTTCAATATAAAAGTATTTAATAGTTCATATTATAATCCATATAATACTAGTATATTGAATATTGGGGTGGTCCTTAACTTTTTTTGCTGAGTATATATCTAAAGGAGAAAGCCAAAGGAGACTGACTTTTTAGCTGCAATATTGCTATACTTGTTGGGGGAGGTGGGGTAGCCTAATGGTTAAAGCGTTGGCTCTTCATGCCGAAGACCCGGGTTCGATTCCCCACATGGGCACAATGCGTGAAGCCCATTTCTGGTGTCCCCCGCCGTGATGTTGCTGGAATATTGCTAAAAGCGGCGTAAAACCAAACTCAGTCAGTCAGTGCTATACTTGTTGTGTTGGAATTGTGCCATAACTAAAATTACTTGCACTTAATACCAATTCAAATACACTATGCACTGTATGAAAGTTGGCTATTCACACAAGTCAAATTTCAATCTAAAGCGTGTAATAGCCCTTCATCTTCGTTCCCATTGTTCGCAAATGCCACACGTCCATCTATTGTAAACTCTATTAAATTTATTATTGTATTGTGCATTGGGTTATTAAGAGCCATGTATAGTAATTGATTATATCGAACATATTTGAAGGTAGCACATACAGTAAATACTGATTATCATAAGCACATATGTTACACATAACTCCATGTGACAAGGTAGGTATGAACAACACATAAAGTCAATGAAGCATTTAAACCAATATGCATTAGAGTAATATTTATAATAATCATATATTATTCTATATTTACCATGTTTTTAAAAACAAGTGAATATGTTTGATCATGTTAATCGGGAGAATGTGTTTATGCCACATATTACATAATTGTGTTCATGCTTATAGTGGCGTCACGTTCGTTTGTTCATTCTGATGCATTTATGTGTGGCATATTAATCTAAATATATTTTGTGTCAGTTTTAAGTGGTGTTTGTTGCCAGTCGTGTATCGATAGAGCCATCTATTTATCGGTAGTTTATATAACGGGATTTACGGATCATGCTAAGATTTTATTACCTGTATATTTCAGAACACGATGGTTCGGCAAATGCTGTTGATGCTATTCCTTCTGAGTGTGGTACACTCCTTGGGTAGGTATATGAGCTGTGTACGTCTTTTGCGATAGATAAACAACAACAATTCTGATTAATTCTAACTTATTTTATTTAAATGTAATTCTAGTACATTTTATGTCGTTCCTTCTCTGTGAGTGAATGTCTGAACTTTTGTGAGTATTTCATCGGCGACATTTCAGCGATGTGACAGAATCCAGTTAAACGAGGAAACTCCTTCCATAACAAAAAGAAACCTCCATTGTGCGAGTCCGATTATTTGGTGTACATGTATTCAGGAATCAGTATCAAACAGTGATGGCACCAAATGTTCGCGAAAATGTGAGACTGTTTTGCCTAAACGCTGGCACCTCTCATAAACACATGACAAGGCAAGTCAACTCGGAACATATGTTGGGCGCGGAGAGTCCTTTGATGGGTGACCGTGTTTGGCAGCTTGACTCCTGAGAGTTTCTAGGACTTCAGTCCTGCCCCACAATGAAGTACATGTGATACATGTGGTCTCACCTTAGGCAAGTGAGTTTGTTCCGACTTGCCTCTGTTCACCCAGCAGAAAATGAGTACCCGGTGGGATAAGTCATGAGGCTATAACCTTCTAGCGCCTAACAAGCTTGGGTTATCTGGGGTAACAATGTGCTGTGCTATTCATTGTTAGGGCTATAAGCATACCTATTGTACTGTCGGAAATAGAAAAAAAACTGTTTTTAGGCTGTTACTATGTATCCCGAAAATTTACACAATTGCAAATAGCATATGTCGAAATAACCCACTTCGGCCTAACTGGGCGTTCAGTGGGATGCGTAATACGATATCCAGAAAAGCATGTTTACTCGTAAAATCGGGCAAAACTAAGAAAAAACCCGAATAGCTGCTGAAAACAAAAGATCACACTATAGATGGCAATTAGGTCGCTCAGCCAGGTATGACGACGGACCGTCGACTCACCTGGCATGAAATGCACGTGCTGCCTACAGGCACAAGGGGTCATCTCAAAGATATTTTGTGCTTTCTCATGTGTGTTGACTAACGTGTCTTTCTTTCATATAGTTTCATATAGTTTATGTTGAGATATGTAAAAGAGTATGATACCCGAAGTCCATAGAAACGCATCGTAGTATATGGGTGGCATGACCACCCGAAGATCGACAGGACTGGATATTATTTGTAAATTGTTATGACGTGTCGTGTACCTCCCCAGTATAATTGCCCTAAATGATTATCTTATCTTAGCTGATATCTCTATCCCCAAGCCCGACCCCATGTTTTGTTTTTTGAGACGACCCCTCCTATCTGTTTCTTTTTATAGTGACAGTGAGACTGCATGGTAGCTACATCCTTAATAGTTTCGGCATAAAAGTTATTATTTTTTACGTCAGCTATCGTTTATAATGAATCTACGTCTAATTTCAAATTGGGCATTTTTAAAAGTGTCCTTTGTAATACAATATCGTCGCACACTAATTTGCATAAAGCCATGGTCTGTTCCAAATAAGTCTTTTTGGACTTAGAAAAAAACCGCATTGCTCATTTCTGCACTAATTTCCCCTCAGTAAAGTCCTTTTCTCCGTTTCCTATCTCTCTACCACTGAGACTGTCGTTAGGCCGAACTTAGATTAACAGATATTTCACACTTTCACATATCAACTACATAAATTGTAGAGATAAATGAGAAAATACAGTTTTTTTCTATTTCCGACAGTACTTATAGTGTGGAGTTTGGCGCTTTTTGAATTATTATTTTGCTGTCTCGTAGTTGACCATGCATTTTTATGCCAAAGTTAACGATAACATATACACATACATTTATGTTTCCTGACATCAACTCGATACCTGTGGCGACGCTGACGGTGAATTTTAAGTCTATAGTATAACGGGGTGGAACAGGGTAGTCCTGTGGTCTATGCGTTTGATCTTCACGCCTAATCACTAGGTTCCATTCCCACATGATATAGTGTATGAAGCTTATATCTGCTGTTCTTGGGGTTAATTGGAAAATCGTTAGAATAGTTAAACGTACATTCACCTACGTATAGAATGTATGCATAAAATGCTGTGGCCAACTTGGATTTTTGTATGAGTCTGATCTTTTTGTATTTGTTTCGCAGATCGACCTTGTAAAACCGAATGTAGCTCCGGTACATGTCTTGATATTGGTCCATTCGACATCTGTGGTAAGTGTCACACTGCTCCTGGGTACGTGTATGAGCGCCCGTTTTATCTACACTTTGAACATGCATGCGTGGTTGCACAGAAACGCCATTAGGGAAATAACTGAAATCATATTATAAGCTGTTATAACTACAGACTTCAACATTGGATTTGGCCATACGTCACTAACGTTATCCAAACGTTACTACGTTGAATGTAGACGTCGAATATCTGGAAAATACGGCCGAAACACCCGTATCAAATACATCCCCCATTGGATCAGCATCTCTTGTTTGTTGTAATGTACCCACTATCAAACAAAGATGTATAAATGTACTTTCTTTTGCGTAGAAGTATATGATGACCTGTACCAGGTTAGTGTTTTGCTAACGAAACTAACTGATTAGTAAACTCATTGGACAAGGGTTTGGGCGCCAAACAGCAATTTCTAATGACAAATAGCCGACAACGTCACAAGGCACGGGCCAGTTACGTTGTGACCTTAATTCTCTAACAATAGAGAATATACGCTTAGAGTGAACGGAGCGGTAGGGTAGTCTAGTGGTTAAAGTGTTTGCTCATTACTCCGAAAACCGGGGTTCGATTCCCCACATGGGTACAATATGTGGAGCTCGTTGCTGGAATATTGCTAAAAGCGGCGTAAATATATTCAAAAACTTTGTTAAGTTGGATGAAGAATGACCAGCCTCATGGCCACGGATGGGTTCGTGCAAGCAACGTGACGTTATTCGCTTTTTAGAGTTTCGTTCCTTGTGCGTGCAGGATCCTGTGATCGTGTGGTCGAATCCCGGATTCAACCTGTTGATTCTTGGTTTGTCGGCACCGTGCCTATACTCGCGGCCTTCACGAAATCAGTTAGTTACCTGTTTGGTACTGTTAAAGAGATAAAGGCTGGGTGACATTATTGGCATCGATATGTAACGGCTGCACCACACGGTTTGTCGGCACCGTGCCTATACTCGAGGCCGTCACGAAATCAATTAGTTACCTGTTTGGTACTGTTAAATAGATAAAGGCTGGGTGACATTATGGGCATCGGTATGTAACGGCTGCACCACACGTAAATGTTGAGATTTGTTTGTTTGAACGTAATATATATTCAGAAGGTCGTCTCTGTTGTGCATTCTATATTGGGGCATGGGTGGGCCAGTTGTCCGCTATGCAGTGTCACGTTCAATGGTAGTGCCAGAAACCTGTGGTCGTGGTTCGAATCCCGATTCGAAAGATTATATTTCTTCTCTTTTGTTGCACCATACCCCTACTCGTTAGTTCCACTCACGCACTCACTCACTCAGTGAAAGAGTTAACTCATATGTTCCCTCACTCCATTGCAGTGGCGAGTCTGCCTGGGGCTGGAAATAATGGTGGACCCCAACCTGTTACAGAGACCGAAGACCCGGAATAACCCATTTCATTGCCTGGTGTACTGAAATAAACCTCATTAAGAGATGAGGCCAACTTTGTTGTTCTTTCACAGTTTCGTGATGTTAAGAATGTTTGTACCGTATTTCCTCTAATAAGCGCCCGGGCGCTTATTTTATTCAATGGACTTCCTGACCCGGCGCTTATTGGAGACCCGGCGCTTATTGGAGACCTGGCGCTTATTGGAGACCTGGCGCTTATTGGAGACCAGGCGCTTATTGGAGACCCGGCGCTTATTGGAGACCCGGCGCTTATTGGAGACCAGGCGCTTATTGGAGACCTGGCGCTTATTGGAGACCAGGCGCTTATTGGAAACCTGGCGCTTATTGGAGACCCGGCGCTTATTGGAGACCTGGCGCTTATTGGAGACCAGGCGCTAATTGGAGACCTGGCGCTAATTGGAGACCTGGCGCTTATTGGAGACCCGGCGCTTATTGTAGACCTGGCGCTTATTGGAGACCAGGCGCTTATTGGAGACCAGGCGCTTATTGGAGACCAGGCGCTTATTACATAATATCCATCAACCCGTGCCATGTCGAGGACAGGAAGTTATGACTAAATTGACCATTCCTAAATAAATCTATTTTGAGATCAAGGGAGAATACATTTATAACAAAAACGTAATCGGCACTGACACACTGACACCATTGTCAAGCAAAAAACGACAATAGAGAAGTGGACATTCATGGCACTGATTCTCACATCCTTTGACGCTAAAGCTTATAGTGATTGCGTACAAAATATTGCTATTTTGGGGACGTGTTTCTTGTATATTTATTAAACCAAAGTAGATTGAACGAAGTAGTGAAATAGATGTCCAAGTAAGCCACATCGATCTATATTAATGCACAATTACGACAGACTGAGCTCAAGTATACAAATTGAGTCTCTAAATTATATAATTCAAAAGACACATTCCAAAAATATCGATATAGTCTCCTTGAAATAGACCAATCATCTTAATTAAATTAAGTGTATGCTTGTTACATGAAAGAAAATGTGACAAGCGTATTGAACGTATCCAGTTGACATTGTGTAACAGCTGACGAAGCATATTAATGCCATTGTGAATGTATCAGGGAAAATTAAAATGGTACTAAACGTTAGCATGCCTTCGATAACTATTCCCCATACGGGCACAATGTGTGAAGCCCTTTTCTGGTGTCCCCGTCGTAATATTCCCCATATGGGCACAATGTGTGAAGCCCTTTCTGTTGTCCCCCGTCGTAATATTGCATGAATATTGCTAAAAGCGGCGTTAAACTATACTTACTCACTCACTCACTCGATAACTATTGTTGTTATTTCGAAGATGCTGCAGAAATGATTATAGACTGTTTTACTTGATATGACCCTTGTATGTGATCATTATTTACTTTGAAGTAAAGTACTGCTCCAAAGGTTTCTCCTGTCCACTGTTCATATGTGAAAAGACACTTGCATGACACAAGACATTAGAAGAATAATGCATTGTACTGTGTACAATATGGATAATTGAACCCGGGCTGTCTTCTTGACGAAAACACAAGACTACTGTGGTTGTCACGCATTTCAGATTGTATAAGGAAGTGATAGGGTGGTCGAGTGGTTACAGCATTACCTCGTCACGCAGAAAGTTCGGGTTGGATTTCCTTTTTATTAAAAGTCATTGCTTTAAACACGCTTTTTATCTTCCGACATAATATGATTTGGATAATGTTACAAGTGACATACATCTGTCCTCACTCACTAAGATCCGATGAGGGGCGGTGGGGTAGCCTAAGGGTTAAAGCGTTAGCTCGTCACACCGAAGACCCGGGTTCGATTCCCCACATGGGTACAATGTGTGAAGCCCATTTCTGGTGTCCCCCGCCATGATATTGCTGAAATATCTAAAAAAAATAAAATCACTCACTGTGATGAAACAATCAGCTGAACGATATCAGTGCTGAACAATCTGCCCTCACTCATCGAAACATGTTCCGTATGCTCATCGTCATAAATGACGCATCGTCACATCGGATATGGACATCGGATTCTCTCGGAAACTTCCGTGAAGCTTAAAAGTTTTATTGTTTTGCCGATAAACGTCCAACACGAGCCTGTCGTCTAATAGCTACTTAAGCCTCCCCATTAAACACGTCATAAAACCGACAATGTGCGTAGGTGTTGGAGTGATTAGCAACAATAAATGGTAATTGATTATAAGAGCCATGTGGCTGTAGTTTGCATGTTCAGCGGAATATATGGGCCACACAGGACTGAATGGTTGCTGGGGTAAGGCTGTATTTGTTTGGCTCTCACGATGTTGAATATTAACGTTAAAGGAAATTTAATTAATTATTTAATTTTAAACCGATTTTATCACATGATCAGGATTTTCATATTAGGATGAGAATGTTATTACAAACTGTAACCGTCCTCTCACATTTATTTTCACAAACGCTGGTTTACATATTGATTTTTTTTTTACAAAAAGAAAGACCACAAGAAAATCGTACATTTTACAATTTTACAAGCACTAGCTTTCTTGATTTCTTACAATATACTTACAGGTTTTGATGAACAGATGTTTCAACTGACATTTGAGAACTGTTCAGCATTTTATGTACATAATCATCATTATAACAATAGTGTGTACACAGGCTTGTCGGGGCGGTGGGGTAGCCTACTGGTTATTTTGTTCGCTCGTCACGACGATGATCCGGGTTCGATTCCCCACATGAGTACAATGTGTGAAGCCCATTTCTGCTGTCCCCCGCCGTGATATTGCTGGAATCTTTCTAAGAGTGGCGTAAACTCACTCACTCAGTCACACAGGCTTGTCTGTGGCTGATTAAAACATGTCGTTGAACATTACATTTCGGGATGCATAATTACCTCTACCAAATTGAAATTCATAGAAAAAAATCAATGAAACATGTTGCTTTTCATCTTCGCCAGTCAGGGGAGGTAACTGGCCGCACTGGAAAGTGGAATTGATCAATTAACTCCCTTGTCTCGAGAAGATGTTGTTTTCAGGCGCAGTTAGGGACATTATGCTAAACAGAAGAACATTTGCATACAAAAGGATCGTGTTTTCAGTTTTGATACATAAATGAATTATTTGGTGTTGCTAGGAAACATTACATGTCGTTTAGAGCTTGGCGTTGTGATTTCAGTGGGTCATGACCCGGAAGTTGTTGATTCTCCTACTGTGTGTCACCTTGGCAACATGCGATACAAGTGAGTAGGGGAGGATCGATACCAATGGTCATAGTGTAAACTTCATCAGAGAAGACCGCCTCGGTGATCTAAGAATGAAGTACTAGTACAATTCCATCGATTTCCCGGTTTGTGTTTAACGATAAATGTGCACCGACATGCCAAAAGAATATTGTTAGACATATAAATATATATAACTAAATACAGCCAAAGTATTAAAGTAATTGGACAGGCAAACTCTAACGCTATCCACTCACTGTCTGCACGAGGAACCGTCTACTCAGTGAACACGTAGGATGACTGGTCAAGGCGTTTTAGTACGTCATGGTCAAGGTCAACGTTATAGACGTTATTGGCTCGAAACAAATGAATGTATGTAACGGCGTGCGTGCGTGCGTGCGTGCGTGCGTGCATGCGTATGTATGTATGCATGCTTCTGTGTTTGTGAAATTGTCTATTTACTCTGTCTATTACTCGTGTCTTCTGATATCATAACAACTATATGTTTCAGGGAAATGTAAAAAAGAGTGTAAAAACGGCCAGAAATGTACACGGATTGGTTCCCTTGAGTTGTGTGGTGAGTTCTATTTTGTACTTATCTGTTGAGGTTCATAGAGTGTATTTAGAAGCGATGGTAGCGCTTGTACGAATCGTAACGACAAACATTCGGATCCATAAAGCCATGAAATGAAATCAGTGTGGGAAAGGATAACAACATATCATTTGCTTGATAACGTTGTTAGGATCAACACCGAAAAGCTGCATCTATTGCGATAAAGAAGTTGTATATCCATGAAATGTGTTCCTCTTCAATATATGGATGAACAACGTCTTTGTTACAGTGTGAGCGACATTTCAGTATGGTTCCAACACCGTTGTCAGCAAGCAAGTGATATACAGAATAGTGAATGAGTTTAGTTTTACGCCGCACTCAGCAATATTCCAGCTATATGGCGGCGGTCTGTAAATAATCGAGTCTGGACCAGACAATCTAGTGATCAACAGCATAAGCATCGACCTGCGCAAAATGGAGAACCGATGACATGTGTCAACCAAGTAAGCGAGCTTGACCACCCGATCCCGGATAAACAGAATAAGGATAGAGAGGCATATATACAAGTGCGAGAGGATGTTTATACATTACTATGGGGATAGGACTGCAATAGCCATTTAGCATAAATTTATTAACAACACATAGCCTGAGATAGATATATAAATAGATAGAAGCGTTAACACATGACAGTCCACAGTATAAACAAAACGATAGTGAAGCCAGTGGTAAAAACAAAGGGAGTAGCACTGGTGGGGATCTTGATGGGTTGTAGTATGCAGGAAACATGTAATAGCCTTGGTCACGGTTGATTGGTGGTTGGGGTCTTTCTATGTAGATAGCTTCTTGGAGTTTCCTGATTTTAAAGTCTTTGGCCGTTAGGGTTTTGACTCTGTCCCACTGGATGCTGTGGTCGGGGTTGTCTTGGAAGTGGTCTGATCGGGATGATTTAGAGTCAAGCTTAAATACCGAAGTCTGATGCTCTTTGATTCGGTTTGTCAGCGGTCTAGATGTTTCACCTTCATAATCCTGTCCACAATTGCATGGGGCGTGGTAGACTGGTTGCCATGGTTGTTGTTTCTGGCTTGCAGGTGGTTTGCCAGTTGCTTTGATCGTGTTTAGGATGATGTTTTCCCTCTTGAATAATTCATCTATATTTACCTGGGTTTTTTGCAAGAGTCTCTGGACTTTGTGGCTGGCGATTCCGTAGTAGGTGAGGCTGATGATAAAGGGCGCAGTTTGTTGACGGGTGGATTTTTCGGGGTTTTGTTGTTAAAGCTCTGTATGGTTTGTTG